AAACCACAAACTTTTAACTTGTAATTTGAAGAGTGAGTTTTAATCATAAACTCTTAACCAGTAGAAACCACAAACTTTCAAATTGTAAGTTGAAGAGTGAGTTTTAATCATAAACTCTTAACCAGTAGAAACCACAAACTTTCAAATTATAAGTTGAAGAGTGAGTTTTGCTCAGTATATATTTTAAACTTTGAGTTTTTATGTTAAAAATAATAAAAACTTTAATCATTAATTTTTAATTTGGAACTTCAATGCTTAACTAATGGAATCTTTAATTGTTTGATTTCAAAAAGTACTTGTTATAAAATTTGTTTTCTTACAAGATTTACAAAGTTTTAGTTTGTAAAACTTGTTTCTGATAAAAATGAACAAACACAAAGCAAGAAACCAAAGTTTTGACATTGCAAATGATTCTATGATTACCACTGAGGAAGATATCTGCGATGCTGAAATGTTTGATGCAAGTTTTTGATTTGATTTTTTAGCTATTTCTCTACATCTGAAGATAGTTTACACAATGTGTTTTGAAACAATTATTTTTTTCGTCAGCAACACAGTTTTAAAACTAAGACTATCAAAATATTATCTTAGAGAAATATATCTTCATTATTATATTTTATAAAGAAGATGAACACTGCTGTCAAGATAAATAGCATTAACATCAGACATTTTATATTACAGCATAATTTTAAAAATATATAAATCATTGTACATGTAGTTCAGTAAAAATCACTAAAATATAATTATTATTTTGATGAAGTTTATATAAACAGAAGTCTTTCATACACATTTGAATATGATGAATGACTTCAGATAATTAGCATGAAGTCAATCAGTTAAGTAGAGAACCAATAAAACAATAATTTTAATTGAAGGGAGCTTGTGCATACAGCATTTTGGATAATAGAGCTTCCATCTTAGAATCTTAGAATTATCACAAATTTTAATTCTCAATGACTAATGGTGTAGTTGTATGATTACTAATGGAGTCTTATCGGTGGGACCATATCTAACTGTAATAGTTTAAATTCTCACCAGAGGAAAGTAATGGAAGAATGAGTAAGAATCAAACCTCGAGTGTTACTGTTCTATTGAGAAGAAAAATTACAAGTTAAATTTCATTGTTTTATTTTTTTACACTTATAACTTAGACTTGCGTAAAATTTGAAAATTATTCAATCAGTATAATAGTAAATGCTTATTTAGGACAAAAAAGAATGAAACTTACTCAGTATTAAAATTTTTATTTCTCTTAACTATTGTATACATTGACGAATAATTCAAAAATACATTCACTCAATGTGAAATGTAATGATTCTTGTATTATCTTGAGCAAAAAAAAGTTAATTTTTATTCCTTACAGTTATTTCAAAATATTTTAGTTTCAGAATGTTTATTGTACAAAAACTTATTATGTGCATGACAACTTGTATTATATATATATATACTTCTCCTGAATGTGTTATGGGGTTTTTTTGTTTTAGTTTCATCAGATGAATCCATTTAATGCACCAAAATTCAACATATTATTTAACATAACAATATGACAATTTGTATTATATATACTTCTCCTGAATGTGTTATGGGTTTTTTTGTTTTGGTTTCATCAGATGAATCCATTTAATGCACCAAAATTCAACATATTATTTAACATAACAATATGACAACTTGTATTATATATACTTCTCCTGAATGTGTTATGGGTTTTTTGTTTTGGTTTCATCAGATGAATCCATTTAATGCACCAAAATTCAACATATTATTTAACATAACAATATGACAAATTGTATTATATATACTTCTCCTGAATGTGTTATGGGTTTTTTTGTTTTGGTTTCATCAGATGAATCCATTTAATGCACCAAAATCCAACATATTATTTAACATAACAATATGACAATTTGTATTATATATATTATCCTTGCATAATGTACAATATGCACGATGAACTTACTTTATTTTTAGATTTTACACTAGACAATGGCTGCACTCTTAAAGCTCCATGTTACATTATTAGCAGCCTTTTTTTTTTGTTGTTGTTGTTGTGGTTTCTTAAGATGAATCCATTTTAATGCACCAAAATCCGAAGTATTATGTAACATAACAATATGGCACTGATTGGTTTTGTTTCGTTTTGTCAAGTGTGCTTACCATTTTGTCCATTGAACCTTTGCCTCTCTTTGTGTTTTCATAAATCTTTCATATCTTATCTACTTTCATCTAAATCTGACTGATTGTACATTGTACTCAATTGTAACACAGTTTTCCTTCTAGAGGGCAATATGAGATTAATGGGTAGTGATCGCTAAACACAAGTTTTAATAAAGCATCCTACCACTTTTTTTAGTAGACATTATTCATAAGTAACTTTTGAATCTACCATAATATAACGATGATTTTATCACCTATTTCAACTGAGGTATGATACAATCTTTTTATGGTGGTATCATGTACAATAATAGCCCCCCAGTGGCACAGTGGTATGTCTGCAGACTTACAATGCTAGAATCCGGGTTTCGATACCCGTGGTGGGCAGAGCACAGATAGCCCATTGTGTAGCTTTGTGCTTAATTACAAACAAACAAACAAACAAATCATGTACAATAAATTTAGATCTGGTATAATTCCTTTTAATAAGCACACTGTCTGATTTATGTGTATATAATAAAATAATATCCAGAAGTCTGTATGGAAATTAACATATGGTGAAATTTGATGCCATTAATAATTTGTGCAAAATTGTGGAATATATTTTTCAAATTTGAAATACATACTAAGAGAAGTATTATATAAAACCCTTGCTGTGCCTTTCCAAGATACATGGGGCCAGTACTTTTGAACTTTTGACACAAGCAGAGGCGAACAATGATTCATTCCCCCGGCATGAGATGCCAGTCCAACATAGGTTAATAGCTATGAATAAAAACCCTATAACCCGAGCGCTTTCGAAAAGTGGACCTTTTTTCTTCGAGGAATGGTAGTGTAATCGATGAGTGATATATATATAAAGGGAGTTTAGTGACGTCATGAAGATCATCCAGTTTTCCAGGAAATGTTTAGTCTATTTCTCTATGTACTGTATGTAAGCATCTCATTTCTGGTACAGTGTAGCCGATGGCGAGAGTGTATGTGAAAAGGTGTTAGGGATA